GTTTGCGAGGTGGAGCAGCAGCGGCGAGAGCATCTCCGCGGTGAGGAGCTCGTGGCAGGCCTGCGCGGGGACGCGGGAGGAGGGGGCGGTGGCGGCGACGGCGGCGGCGGAGGGGGCGGCGGGCTTCGGCGCGGTGGCGGAGAGGGTGTGCTGAGCCGCCCCCGCGAGAGAATGCTCGTCACAGTTCCACACTCTTGGGCGGGCCCGGCGTTCGAGCACCTTCGCGTGTGTGCTGGGCAGTGCTGGGCAGTGCTGGGCAGTGCGGGGCACGCGGCGACGACTCCAAGAGTGGGAGGAGGTTGCGAGGGGTGGCGCGAGGAGGGGTGGCGAGGCCGCGGGAGGTCGCGGTGGGCGGGGGGCGGCGGGTGTGTGTGTGGGGGGGGGGGTGCAGAGCAGCCGAGAGTTCTTGGGAAAGTGTTGTGGGCATGTCGGCCGAGGTGTGCAAACACCGGGAGGCACGAGACGTGAGGGCGGCAATTTATGGGCGGCGTCAGGGCGGAGTCAGGGGGCAGTGCAGGGGTGCAGTTCCGGTGCAGTGAGGCGAGGGCAGAAGAGGTGAGGTCTCTTCCTGCACGAGGTGCAGTGAGGCGAGGGCAGAAGAGGTGAGGTCTCTTCCTGCACGAGGTGCAGTGAGGCGAGGGCAGAAGAGGTGAGGTCTCTTCCTGCACGAGGTGCAGTGAGGCGAGGGCAGAAGAGGTGAGGTCTCTTCCTGCACGAGGTGCAGTGAGGCGAGGGCAGAAGAGGTGAGGTCTCTTCCTGCACGAGGTGCAGTGAGGCGAGGGCAGAAGAGGTGAGGTCTCTTCCTGCACGAGGTGCAGTGAGGCGAGGGCAGAAGAGGTGAGGTCTCTTCCTGCACGAGGTGCAGTGAGGCGAGGGCAGAAGAGGTGAGGTCTCTTCCTGCACGAGGTGCAGTGAGGCGAGGGCAGAAGAGGTGAGGTCTTTTCCTGCACGAGGTAGGCGAGCAGCAGCGTGATGTCGCGCTGGTGAGGCTGCAGGTAGCGCTGGAGGTACGGGAAGAAGTTTGGCAGCTGCAGCCGGTGCGCGCCGACGAGGCGCGAGAGGAGGTTGATCATCAGCAGCCGCACCTCGAGTCGTTCACACTCGGGCAGTGTGGACGACTCGAGGTGCGGCTGCTGATGATCAACCTCCTCTCGCGCCTCGTCGGCGCGCACCGGCTGCAGCTGCCAAACTTCTTCCCGTACCTCCAGCGCTACCTGCAGCCTCACCAGCGCGACATCACGCTGCTGCTCGCCTACCTCGTGCAGGGAAAAGACCTCACCTCTTCTGCCCTCGCCTCACTGCACCTCGTGTCGGGAAGAGACCTCACCTCTTCTGCTCCCTGCCTACTGCACCTCGTGCAGGGAGAGAACTCACCTCTTCTGCCCTCGCCTTAGTGGACCCTGGTGCA